GTTCCGGAAGGTCTGACACTTTTATATATATCTTAAATTAAAGCTAATGTAATATACTTTATTATGTAAAAAAAAAAATTCGGACTTTATTTTGTCTTCACGGCAAAAATGGCTACCAAATANTTTATTTTATCTTCACGGTGAAAATGGCTACCAAATGCTATTATTGTGTGAAAATTCTCGATTTTATTTTTTACATTTTTAACTTTATAATGCTATGACATATTGAAAAGTGTATGGATCAACATTATTTTTTTATGAGAAATAATATTTTTTAATAATACCTTTTTCATTCGACATACTTTATCTTAATCAGGATATTAATAAGGAACTAGCAGTTTATGAAGCTTTTGGAATAATCCACCAATTTTTTTTAAATTAAACCATATCTAAAGACTTGCATCGAAGCGTTTTTTTTTGATAATGATTTTAATCACTGTCAGATATCATTATACTTGATCCAACTATGCCACGTCACCACTGTGCCGCGACCCCCCTGGGCTGGGTTTTTTTTTAACTTAACTTTTTAAAATGTTCCAGAAACTGTCACTTTTATATACATCTAAAACTAAAGATTATGTAATATGCTCTATTATGGAAAAAAAAATTCGGTCTTTATTTTGTCTTCACGGCAAAAATGGCACCGAATGCTATTTTTGTGTTATATTTCTCGACTTTATTTTTTACATTTTGAACCTTATATTTCTGTATCTTTTTGAAAAATGTATGGATCAATAGAATTTTTTTATAAGAAATACTACTAAATACTTTTTTATTCGACATACCTTTTTTTTAAACTTGACTGTTTTCCTATATACGAAAGGGGGTTCAAATTTTAAAAAGCGTATAGAAAGAAGTAGAAAGTAGAAGTAGAAGTAGAAAGATTATGTTGCTTTTGGAGTAATCCACCAATTTTTTTAAATTTAACACTATCTACAGATTTGCATCGAAGCGTTTTTTGTGATAATGATTTGAATGATTGTTAAATATCATCTATACTGGACCCAATTATGCTACGTCCACACTGTGCCATGACTCCAGTATAAGGTGTTCGCTATTTTTTAAGTTTTAAAATTTAAGAACCGCCGGGCGTTAATTTGTTCCTTTATGTCTAAAGATAATCTCTAAAAAATTTGAGCTTTATACTACTTGATTAACTGGGTGCACATAAGCTCAAAGTTTTGAAAAATATGAAAAGTTTCAGTGTTTTACATTTTTAGGCTACAGACTTAATTTTACGAAAAATATTATAATATTGTAGCTATTGTGATTTTCAATAAAAAACTCTTCTTTCAATTTCGCGTTAAGTTCATACTTTTTGGTTTAAATAATAAAAATTGACGATACTTGTCATTTATTAAAATTTCCAACTATTTGGTTTTTTGTTTAGTCTAGTTTAATTTTCACATTACAAAAAAAATTCTAATTATAAAATTTGTTTAAAATAATAATTTAAATAAAAAAGATTTGTGATTGTTTCACATATTTTTCATCAAAATCGGTTCATTGAAAGCTGAGATTCAGCGTATACAGACAAAAAAAAAAAAAAAAACACATCATAGTAAAATTAATACCTTCTCAGGTTCGCATAGAAGCTAAAAATATTAGATAATTTCTCTTAAAAATGATAGTTTTTGAAGTATTGATAAAAATATTCAAAATAATTGCCTAATACTTTTACAAAACACTTAAAAAAAAATTAATTATAATAAAAATGCTGTTATATTTATATGTTTATATTCTATATGATTCGCTATTGAAATCAAACAATTTATTTATTATACGCTTGAATCAAAACTTTTTTTGTTGCCTCAGGGTATTGAGTTCTATAATCTTGTATCACCTAAAAAAAATATTGTTAAAAATAATTTTAAGTAACCTTTTAAAAAAAATGTATATATTACTTGTAACAAAAATTGTTTTTGTGATTCGTTTCTTGTTATATTTTTATTGAAATCTTGTATAAGTATTATCCCCCTTTCAGATGAATCGTTTACTACTTTTAGCTCCTTAATAATTTGTTAGTATTCGTGAGAGCTTGACCACTGAGATGAGTGTATATTAAACAGTGGCGTATTTTGAATGATTTCTCGGGTGGTGTCCAACTTTTAATGAACCTCACAAACGAAAATTATAGAAATGTTTACTGACGTAAAAAAAACTTACTATTTTTCTAATTACTATTTTAGGAATTGACAAATAATTTGAAATTTGAAATTTTGGTACTGTTGTATCTTAAAAGAAACAACCCTAGTGTCTTAACTTAAACTAATAAAAGTTTAATAATAACTCTAATGTATATATTATAGATATAATTAAACAGNAATGTATTTATTATAGATATAATTAAACAATGCAAAACATACAAAATAAATATACACTAAAAACACAATAAAACAATACACAAAATGAAAACTTAATGTCATAAATGTACCGCGCGAAAAGAGATTACCTTCGGTGCTCCTGAGGTCCTCTCTCTTCTACGATTCATTCCATTTTGTCTTATATACTAAAATATTTTGTTTTTCTTCTTTTTGCAAAATTAATAATACTATCGTTTTCAAAAATGTTTATAAATATTTAATTCCTGGTCTAGTAATAATAGATCAGGAAATTACAATTAAACAAAACATTACAAAAATGTTTTACTTCCAGCTTTACAAATGATAAACTATATTACAGTATACAGACTGATTTTTTTATCATAACCCACTCATTTACTTGTAGAATAAATATAATTTAAACATTATGTTTGGTTTTCTTTAGTTACACATTATTCTTAAATTATTAACTATTTAAACCTTTTTATGTTCATCCCTTATGCCTTGTAAGGGTGTCAACTTTGTCTTTTTGTCTTTTAAGTGGGAACACATAATAAAATGTTTGGATTTTTAATTAAATAGTAAATGGCATTTGAATTTTTAATATAACTTTATTAGTTTATTAGATATAAACATTTAAAGTTTCAAATTTTTGAGTTAATATACATGTATAATACACATGATGATATGATTACAAATACAGGTAGCTAAATGGTTTATATGATATCAATGTCGCAGTCACGGATTGTTTATTATCAATTATGACTATCATAGATATACTTTCTGTATTGACAGTTAGTGTATTTATAAACTCACAACAATGTGCCTTACTACCATTGATAATAACAATGCTGTGTACCTGCTAATTTCTTTGAAGTTGTTTTAAACAAAGTAACTCATAACTAAATACTTTATTTATAATAAGTAAACAAATAATAAAATCTCTTTTCAGTATTGATGTTCGTAAATTACTTGCTTTTGATGATGTTTCAGTGTCATTCCACTTCGAAATTATAAATAACGATTCAATTAGGTACACAAAAAGCTCAAGAAAATCATTGACAGCATAAAAACGTTCAACTCATTTAGTCGAACATAATTGTTTTAATGATTTTTTAGTTATACATTTTTGACTTTCTTCTACAATGAACAAACGTCGCAAGCGGATAACTTTGGTGATTAAGAGATTGAGCTCCGTTAAATTGACCAGACATAGAAGCACATCCATCGTAACACTGTCCTCTAACGTACTTTGTTTCTACACCAAATGAATGTAAACTTTGAATAATAATATATAAACCTTTTCCAGTAGTATCTGTTGTAGGCACAAACTGAAAAATTCTTCCTTGATAATTATATTTTCAACATCTAAATATCGAACACACAAAGTTACTTGTTCGCTTCCACCAATGTCGGCCGTTTCATCAGCAAGTATTTTGAAACATCTTTGGGCATTTATGTTTGTTACGATTTTATTTAAAATAATTTTATTACAGGATTCAATTATTTCTTTTTGAAGTGTTTTTATTGTATATTTTATTGTTTCTTCAGCTTCCAAAAATTATTTTAAACGGTCATCTCCTTGGGCTCTGTATCTTAATATTTCTCTAAAATTTCCATGATTTTCTTGGATAATTTGTCATTTTCTCGATATATATATTGAAGTTACAAAGATAACCGTTATTGTCAAAAAAAAAAAAATAATAATAATAATTACATTAAAAAATGCAAATAATAATTAAACCTATAAGGTAGTTAAATCCTAAAGTTATTTTCGATTTGTTAANAGGTAGTTAAACCCTAAAGTTATTTTCGATTTGTTAAAGTCGTTAAAATTAATTCAAATCTCCTGTTATTTTCTTTTATCAGAATTATTATGTCATTAATTCAATTATTAATTAAATTGTTAAACTATATTATATATTCAACTTAATCAATTTTTATGTTGATTATAATCGCATGGCATGATGTTTTTTGATAATAACTAAATGGAAATAGCAATTTCACATGGGGAAAAATTTTAATAGTTGCAAGAGAATAAATCCAAACGTTGATATTTTATTTCATACAGATTAAATTTTATATGCATAAATATTCTGTTAACCGATATCAAATTTATTCCACTTGAACTTTCATAAAAAAATCTCTATCATTTGTAAACTAATGTAATAAATAAACAAACAAATACAAAAGGGTTTTCTTCAAAATATCTTTAAAATATGTATATATATATATTTGATAATTCTCTGTATTATTCTTAAAATATTGTATTCTTTGACCAATAATACAATTAAAATAAATAAGTATTGTTTATACTAAATTTATTTATAATTGGCTTATACATTTTTTTAATGAATTTTTACAATCAAGTTTCCTTGACAATTAGATGTANATTTTTTTAATGAATTTTTACAATTAAGTTTCCTTGACAATTAGATGTAAATGTTGATTTTATCGACATTTCAGTTCACTTCGTTTTTTCCCGTGAAAAATAAACTATCGTCTTGTGTAATTATTAAGATTTATTTAATTAGTTATTAATATGGCCAGTGAAAAAAATATTTTTGGTCAAACATATGAATCAAACTTACATAAGTTCAANTTAGTTATTGATATGGCAAGTGAAAAAAATATTTTTGGTCAAACAAATGAATCAAACTTACATAAGGTCATACGCAGAGTTGAAGAAATATGGAATCGTCGTTTCATGCATTCCAATTGTGTTTTAAATAATACAAATAAAGGACAAATATCAAAAAATTCAACTAAAGATGGAAGAATTATCTGTAAACACTATTAAGATTAATAATTAAACTAACTATTTCGAATAGAGAAAAAGTTTTTTAATATAAAATATAAGAAAAATTAATAATAAGTTCTCTTATTCATATATAACAATAATTCAGTCGCTTTACTTTAATTTAACTATTTTAATATTAAAAACCTTTTTCAAAATTGATTATTTAATTAATAATTATTAAAATTATAATCAATTTGCAGCAATTATTAATAAAAATATTTATCCTATAAAAAATTCCATTATTCCAAAAAAACGCATGTATCGAGAAACGAATAAAAATGATAAAATTATTCCAGAAAAATTGGTAACTATAATTATATTAATACATTTATTTGATTTAGCTATGTTATTGGGATTTGTCTGATTCAAAAATATAAAATAAACTATCAATCCCCTTAATATAAATGCGGTAACATAATGTTTAATATTATTCTGCTATTTTTTCTATTAGATTTTTATGGGAAATTCAATTTTTATCGAAGATAATAATATAATATTAAGTATAGTTTATTTGTTTATTTAAATATCTCTTTGGTTACCTAGAATATGATGCAGCAAAGAGAATTCGAAACACTTTTTCAGAATGAAAAATCTGAAAAATATAAAAATGAAATTGTAAATTCAATAGAAAAAAAAAATATAGCAATTTCAAAAGACAATCCGCTATTAATATCAGCTGATTTGTTAGAAAAGATATATTTTGNCCGCTATTAATATCAGCTGATTTGTTAGAAAAGGTATATTTTATTATGCTTTATTTCAATAAAAAGATTTTAGGGTATACCCTAAACCATTTTTTGGACTTAAAGCAGATTTTTTAAATAAATTTATCATATAATTAAATATATTTTTATGATCCGTTAAGAGTTTTCATAAGAAAAATTCGGAACGCAAAAAATCCGAAATAAAAAAACAACTTTTTGAGATATCTTTTAATACTACTGCCAGACCAAATTTAAAAAGAAATTCATCCGAAGAAGATGAAAAAGTCATTAAAAGTATACAACTTTTAAAATATAATTCATTTTTAAAAAAATATGAAATTTTGATTTTTGAAACAAATATGTAATATTTTTAAACATAAATTATTTTAGAGCCAAAAGTTAGTTCTAATCCTTTGACCTTAAATACGCCGAATGACGTAAATTTACTTGCTCTGTCCACTATTGAAGTAATAAAAGTACCAGAGAAAGAAAAAGGTAATTAGTTATTTAATCTATTTATTTTATGTAAAATTAAATAAAAAAAGATTATTTATTAAACATAATTAATTATAATAATACGAGTTAAATTAATATAACTTCTGCAGAGGCGTGTCATTAAGGGGGTCCATGGACGTTTTAAACAAAAGTAATTATACGTGTTTAATTTCATATTCCAAAACCTTAAATAAACCTAAATAATAGTAAACTGTTCAACAAAGTCTTTTATTAATTTTATGAAAAATGTTTAAATATGGTTACACTTGCAGAAGTAATGCAAGATCAGAACACAAAATCTCTTGATCAGTATAATGCACCTTCATTTAAATCGCCCACATCATGGTATACTTCAGACACAATTAATGAGTACATTAAAATGATAGTAAAACGGTCAGAAGGTGAAGTTTATGCAGTTGTCACTGATTTTATTGTAGCGTATCTTCGAGGAGGTTATCCAGCTGTAAGAAGATGGATACAAAAAAATATTCACACAATAAAACTACTTTTTGTGCCCATGAATGTATATGAAAGTCATTGGATATTGACAGTGGTTAATATACCTGAAAAGACTGTGACATCATATGATAGTCTTAAGTCGTATGAAGGTCCATATCCAATGGTATTAAAAAATTTCTTAATTGAATGGGTGATGTACAAAAAAGGAAAAGATTCTACATGGACATTACAAATAGGCGAGACATCTCACCAAACCAATGGACATGATTGTGGGCCATTTACTGTTGAGCTGGCAGAAAAAATGTCTCGAGGAGATACAACACCAATAAATGCAAATTTTATGCCTTTTATAAGATTAAGACACAAAAATGAAATTATTGCTGGCGAGCTATTCAATTAATATTTTTGTGAATGAAATTTTATTTTTGTATTTTATATCAATTTTCTTAATATTCACTATAAATTGAAATTTACCACCAAACATTTTTTTACTTTTTCTATGTTTAATTGTTGTTTTGTTATTTTATTTTAATCTTATTTTTCTTTGCAACATTTCATTTAAGAAATTCAAATTTAATATAAATTTATCTTAATTGAAATAATTTAATGTTCTTGTTATGTGAATATACAAATATAATAATATACAGTTATGGATACAATTAAGTTAAAATGTCAGCCAATTATAAATTTTTAAATTAACAAGCGTATCTACTATCTTAACAACTTAATTTTAACTTTACTAAATGACGATTCATAAAGAATTTCATAACTTTTGTTTATTTTTTAAATACTAATTTTAACTATAAAAAATTCTATTCTGTATTTTTTATGAATGCGGTATATTGAATAGGGGTAACTAAACTTATTTGTTTATAATTCTCTAAACTAATAAACTATAAAATAAATTTAAAAATGAACTCCAAGTTCAGAATATTTCCGTTGTTATTATATTTTTGCTACGGGTATTTTTGTTATCTAAATGACCCAATGAAATCCAAATAATTTCTAGAAATCTCTGATGAAATGTAGATAAATACGTGTCGTCGAATCCTATCAAATTATCTTCAATTTTGTTATTTATTTAAAATACCATTTATTTTATAGTAAATAAATATAGTATATTATAAAAAAAGTTAATACCAATATATTAGGCATTTTTTTTTAATTCGGGGGGTGTCCAGACATGGAGGACACCCCCCCAAAATACGCCACTGATATGTAAAAAAATTTTAATTTTGTATCGTTGAAAAATATTCTTTGAATGTCCATTAAACAGGGATATTAATACATCATCATCGCATTTTTCTAAAAATAAAGGTACTTGATTTAAATTTAAAGACAACTTTTTTATTCGGTAGTTTGTTAGTGTTTTAAAATTTAATATCACTTATTACTCCCCGGTCAAACGCTGTGCGATTTCGAAAAATTATCAAATTTTCAGCTATTTCTAAAAAATATATAATTTTCCAGTTTTTTCCATGTATTCAACCAGGTGTTCTACATTATTTTCACTTTTTGGTAATTTCATTTTGAATGACTTAAATTATTGTAAACTTATAAGTACATTTTAAACCGAAAAGTGATAGATAATAACTTACTTTGATTAAAAACACGAAAACAGATAAATTTGAAAAAGATACAGGAATGGTTTTTTGAATATATTTAACCTAAAAATTCGTGTTTGAATTACCTAAAATATAATAATTTTAGTTTTAAATTACTTGATTTAAATTTAAAAACAACTTTTTTATTTGGTAGTCTTTATTTTGTTCGTCAATTTCAGCAAGTGTTAGCAAAGTATAGTTTTTTATCTCTAAAGGGATGAAAATAAAAATTATTTGACCTTACACTATAATAGTCTTTTAAATCAAACAATATTTTCCATTATGCAAATATATAAACTTCAATAGTTTCCATGAAAATGAGTAATTTTATCCATAATGAATCACTTTGTATAATATCTGTTTAATTGAAAACAAATACGTGCTTTACTCTTAAATTTGTTTTTTGTTACAAACTTGCAAAAAAAATTGATAATGTTTTAACCTAATTAATATTTTTCTCTAATACGGTACTGAACATACGATACAAAGAAAAAATAATAATTATATCACCTTAATTTCTAAATATGAATCATAAAATTTCTTATTTAGCTTTTATTTTTTTTTGAAACAAATTTATAACTTACATAGAAAATACTAGAACCTTTCAAAAATAATATGTAAATGCTAGATTTTATGAGCCTTGATAATGACAGAGTCATAACATATATATATTTGTCATAAAACATTAAAACAGGTCATATTTTCGAAGAAAAACTACTCTTTTCTTGTTTAATTTATTTCCAAATTGAAAAATAATAATACATTTCAAAATAATAACTGTATGTAAATATATAATTGGTTAATTAAGATTTGACACGGCCCGTTTCGCTTTATTATACACGATGCCCCGCGACTCGTGCCACCTTTTTCAGCCGTCGCCCTACTTTGAGTATTTGACTGACCAACACCACGTGTCATACACTACGGTGCAAAGTCCAGCAAATGCCGCACGGCCGACGACGACCCGCCGCAAATGATATGGTAGTCTTCTTCCCGTTGTGAAAGTGACAGCGTCGACCAACCGATCCGCACCCGCGAACCGTCTCCTACAACGCTGCTAAACTTTTGACGCCCAAAGATCACGCCGGACATCGCGTCGTCGACACCAGCGAAAGTACCTCGATATTATGCGAAAACTATTATTATTGTGTTCATCTTTTCGGTTTGTTTTATTTTTTTTTTAAATAACCTGTTGTTGCTCATTAATAAACAGCCCACGGATATTTACCCTGAAAACCAGTGTCGACCACATTTTTGCGACGTAAGTCGTGTCAGATTCATCTATGAAAACTCAAATATCGAGATGGAAATATTGCTAAAATTTTGGTTTCGGTTAAGGTTAACGGTTTTGAAAGTGTTTTTTTTAGGTTTTATATGGGCTTGATATATTTTATATATTTTCAATGAGTTTCGGTTTCAAAGTCAGTTTTCCAAGTTTTGGTTCCTAGCCCTGATTTGAATTACTTAATTTGACTTGATATGTATGGAAATAACAATTTTTTGTAAAAGTACTCGAACAATTTTTCGATATGAGTCAGGGGTTTTTATTTGAAGTTTTAAACCAGATGCGTTACTTTTACAAATAAATTCATTGATATCAATAATTTTTTTAATAGCCCCACAAGAGTAACGTAGTTTAAATCAGATTTGATGAATATAGGCGGTGATTTGTGCGGTGTGGGTTGATTTGTTGGTTCTGTTTCCATGTTATCTGAACTTGTTTGAAAAGGAGTGGACCAGTTTAGTACATTGATATTATTGTTGGAAGTATCACTGTGTTTTGCTATAGGAGAGGATACGGGTGAATGTGTATGTGGTCTTTTATTAGATGATAAAACGGTTATCCAGTCGTAATCAAACTCGGCAGAAGTGGTGTTTTTTTTTTTTTTTGCTTTTGTATTGCTGATTATTTGAGAACGATTTATAATAGTTATCGGAATTATCGGAACATTACTAATTTTAGACAACAGCATCTTTGGCGGACTGCGATTACTATTACTATATTTGAGGCAAATAGTGAAATATTAAATTCTTACCTAGATCCCGAAGGATCACTATGATGTTAATATTTTTCTTATATTTTAAATTCGTTGATTTAAATAAAATGATAAATTTAACGTAAAGTTATTGCAGAAAAATAACGGTAGCGAAACACGAAACATGTGAACTCAGTGGTAGCTAAAGGCTATCTAAACTAAAAAGTTAAAAATAATTTTTAAAGTAAGCTTAAAATAATAATGAACGATAAATACTAGTAATATTGTGATAAAAGCGTGGGTGCTTTGTGCCATATTTTACCTATATTGAGCGCCCGACGCTTTTATCACAATAATATTAGTATTTATCGTTCATTATGGTTTTAAGCTTATTTTTAACTTTTTAGTTCAATGTGCTCTAAAAGCGTGTTTTTTTTAACTATATTTATTATGATTAAATCAGACTAAATCTATACTAGACCAAACTATGCCATGTCCACACTATACTGATTTTTTTTCAATTTAAAACACTTAGTCTTTTTTTTTAATTTTTTGGATTTGAAACATTTTTTAGATATAAATACTTATGAATTTTGCTTTGGTTAGGCCAAAGGATACTTTAAAAAATATTAATGTCGATCTCTCTATAAATTATACTTTCTCAAAAATGTATTTATTCAAAAAAAAATTAAATAAGGGTACATTATTAAAGTTAAAATAATAATAAAAATATACAGTGTTTTGAATCTTTTACATATGAAAATCAGTCATAAATTTTTTAATTTGTCGATATCAACTAGAAACATTAAAAGTATTAATATTTTGTACAAACATTGATTTGTATAATTATTTATGATTATATATGTACAATTATTATATTTTTAAAGAATTACATTGATATCTAATATGCACTATGACAGATTTTCCAAAATAATAATATATCTTATATAAGAGTAAGAAACACTGAATTGTGAATGATTTAATGATAAAATTTTAAATATGTGTAAAATAATATAATACATACAAGAATTTATTTTTTGATAAATTATTGTGAAGACTTAAATATCAACAACTTAAAATTTAAAATACTTAATAATTTACTTTTAGATTTGATCATGTACAAATTCAATAATAAGCAAATATTTATTTAACATTTGATAATTTAGAACTTATAATTTTAGTATATACGTGGTGAAATAGATATAACTAACAATACCTATAACTTTTGATACCAATTACAATGAGATTATTGTAATTGTTTCTTTTATAATTTATAAATTCTTAGACTGCGATAATATCATATTTAAAATGAACAGTGGATATAGGTGTAACTGAAATTTTTTAAAACTGTATTTTAATATCCTTAGTTCGATATTTTCTCTCTTATAAGTTACTTTTACATGTTGAATATTAATAAAGTTTTTAGATTCTAATATTTAATATAAAAGTAGCGCTCCTGAACAATTTCAAACATGTTAGTAAACACCTTTTATTCAGCGACCACATAATTTTATAGTTTATTTTAAATTATAAAAATTATACTTTTAGAGTAAGTGTTGATTGACTCACAAACATTTTTATACTAAGAGCAGGTATACCGCGTGAATGGTTACAGTCCTGTATATGTTAGTGGTTAAATATTGGCTATTTTAAACTTACTAATCATGTATATACTAACTATTTTGTTATTTGAAAAATTATTTCTTTTCATTAAAGAAAAAAAGCTTTAATCCTATTTCATTATTTTCATATTGCGACAGAATTAATAAATTGTTATCAGGTTTGTAGTCAGATGTAGTATCCCATTTCCAATATTGATCACTTTCTAAAATAGCATAATTGATTTTTGATTTCATTAACTCCCGACAGTTTAAGAACTGTTGTTTAATTTCATCATCTTTATTCTGTGCTTGATTAAAATATAAGTTTAATTTCTCCATGGTATTTTCAACACAGTCAAGTGG